CCCCTCCCCCACCCTCCTTGAACCCTTGATAATTTAGAAATGATTAGTATTTTTTTATGTCTTGCACTCACTGCTGTCTCCCTTCACCCACTTTTCTGTTGTCCGTCCCCCTGAGAGGGGGCTATATGTCGATCATTGTGATCGGTTCCCCCTTTCTCCCTCCCACCTTGCCCCTACCCTCCTGGTGTCACTACGCTCATTACTGGTTCTGAGTGTTTATCTGTCCTGAGCATTTCTCTTTTGGGTGATGAAAGTGCTCTCATAGGAGACCCCAGGAGAGGCTGCACAACCCTGTGGGGTGGGGGTGGGGGACATGAAAGGCCACTGGATGACCCCCACTCCCGTGTGTGTGTGTGTGTGTGTGTGTGTGTGTGTGTGTGTGTGTGTCTGTAAATGATGCTGCAGTGAAGTTGCAAGAAGGGAGGCCCGTCTGGGGACGATAGCCGTGCGCTGGAAACAGGGATGTCAATAAAGCCCTGAGGACAGCACCTGCCACTGCGAAGCTCCTCCCACACCTGGGCTGGCTGCTGTTGGAGATGCCCCAGGACCTCCAAGACATCTGCTGCTCCTGGCTGGGGCCTGGGGACAGATTGACTAAGTGACAAGGCCCCCACCTTCTGTCCTATCCCTTCCCCAGATAAGAAGGCTGGGAAGAAGCAGGAGCTGTGTCGGGTCTCCCTGATGGCTGTGTACCCCCTACTCTCCGTCCTGGATGTCTGCACTATGGGCAGCGCCGAGGGCATCACCCGGAATCACCTGTGGAACCTCTTCTCCCTGAACACCTTCAACAGCTACTTGGAGCGTGACCCTACGCCCTTGGAGCTCACCTACAAGGTGCCCGTCCGGCACAGGTGAGCTGGGCCCAGGGGCCGACAGGGTCAGCCTTCGCATGTTCTTGCCACTTTCTGTTCTCCCTAACCCCACTCGCAGCCCCCACCCTGTCCCAGTAGAGAGGAGGGGCCTCTGAAGATCTTGGCTTATGATCTGACGTACCCCACCCCTTGCCTCTGGCCCACCCCACGCCCAAGGCTCAGAGACGCCACTTCCCACACTTGTAGGTGGGTACCCAAGTCAGCCCCACCCTGTCCCCCATCCCTGCCAACTAGCTGCTCTGAGCCTACTTTCTCTGTTGCGTTTCAACAGCATGAGCCAGACCCCCCCTATCTTCACCCCTCTGAAGCTGGACTTCAATTTTGGGGCTGCACCCCTCGAAGCCCCACCCTCTGTGGTGTTGCTCGCCCTGAAGAACTGCGGGCTGGTACCCCTGGACTGGTATGGCTGCCCGGAGGGGGGTGGGCAACCACCGGGGAGACAGGCCGGGAAACTAGCTGCCTTCTGCTGGCCACTCGGCTGCCCGGTGTCTCCCACGGATAAGATCGGGAGGCCAGTGGTGGTGCAGGGGTCGCTCAGCAGGGAAGCTGCTTGCTCAGTGCGGGAACCATCCTTCTGAGGCCAGATCTGTTCATGACTCACTGCTGCTGAGTCCGCATCGACGACGCGTGGTGACCAGGTGTAGAAAGTCTTGTCTTGCTGCTTTCGGGGAAGCCGGTGGCTTCAAGCTGCTGAGCCTGTGGTTAGCAGCCCAGGACTCCTCCTCCTAAGGCCAGGGCCACCTTCATAACTTGGTGGACAAGAAGGGTGCCTTGAGCATCAGCAGCAGGCCTGCTCTGGTGCTTCACAAGCCTGGGCCCTTCTGAGCCTCCCTCGTGGCCGTCCCTGGGAGACAGCGCTCCCCCCTCCCCTGACCTTCTCCCCAAATGAGACTCTGCGAGGGTCAGTAGGGCTGAGAACTCAACCAAGGTCACAGAGCTAGAAATGGGCAGACACCAGCTGCCGCCACCAAGGCAGCGCTGATGCGTGGTGACTCCGGACATGTCCCAGCGCAACAGTGCTCCCTGGTCTGTTTCCAAGGGCTGGTGTGTTTTTTTTTTCCAGGAGATTGCCAGACCTTGCTTGCTCAGGGTGGACTCCTGCCTCTTGGTTAGTTGACGGCTTGTCCCACCCAGGGACTGGCCCAGGTTCAAGGCCAGATGTGCCCCACTCGGGAGCCTCCTCCCGATTGCTAGGGGTGTGGTGCTTGGTTGTTAACCAAAAGACCCTTGGTTCAAACCCCCCGGGAGAAAGAGGGGTGCCCTTGGATGCCCTCTGGGGCAGTTCTACTCTGCCTGATTGGGTCGCTGAGTCTGGATGGACTCGACTAGTGGATGTGGGGTTCCTTTGTTTTTGTTTGTTTGAATCCTGAAGTCAGCCAACCAGCAGGGAAGTGTCAAGCTGCTCCTACGTTCCAGGCTCTACACTGGGTGCTGGGACACAGAGTCCCACAAGGGGCACAGGGCTGGGGCTGTGTGTGTGTGTGTGTGTGTGTGTGTGTGTGTGTGTGTGTGTGTGTGTGTGTGTGTGCCAGCTTCAGCGGGCCTGCCACTGAGGAGCCATCACAGAGCAAAGCCTGGGCAGCTCCCGGGCTGCCAGGCTGGCTCGGCCTTTCCAGCCTGGAAACCTGAGCTGCCTGTTGGCCTGGCCTGCGCATGGCTCTCCTCCCATTGGTGCCCAGAAAACACCCTACTCAAAGCCAGGGCCTTTTCCTGCCCCTCCTCCCTGCCCTGCCCGTGCCTGGATTTCCTAGTAAACTTCCTTTTGGTGATTTCCAGCTTTGCTGGACCCAACAGAGGTGAAAAAGAGGGGTTCCTGTCTGGGTCAGGCAGCCGATGGGGAGTGGCTGGGGGTGAGGATATGCAGAGTGGGAGGACCCCAGGCATCTCAGAAGCCTTCCTACCTGTGGGGAGGCCCTGGACCAGGGGTGAAGGTGGGGCAGGGGCTGGAGCCTCCTGGGGACATGGGGGAGCTGGCTCCTTAGGTGGCTTTTGTCTGCAAAGGGCAGGGCCTGGAGTAATTGAGGAGCTTGGCAGGGCTCTGGCCCGGCTGGGGAAGATGTGGGTCCTCCTGGCACTCTGGGGGTGGACCAGGAGCCAGGCCCTGAGGCCTGGGGGTGGGGATGGGGTGGGCACATCGCCACTGGCCTGTATCTTGGCTCAGAGCAGCGTGTGCGGGTGGACAAGGCTCTGCTAGCCCTGTGGAGAGGTTCCAGGCGCTGGCATTGAGGCGGGAGGGCTGGGCAGTGTGCCTGCAGAGCTGGCCCATCAGTCGGGCTGGTTTGAGGCTCAGAAAGGCGGGCCCATGCCGCTTCCAGGGTTCTGAGCACAGGGAGCCTTCCTTGGAAGGAGGCCCGTCCCAGGCTTTCTGCGTTTGTGTTTTCTTTCCATTTCTTAGAAGGCTATTTCTGAAAGTCCTAGCTGCCTCTGCTGAGCCCATGAAGAACAGATGAGGGTTTGGTTCCTGCCAAGGCCGCCAAGAAAGGCGGGGAACCGGCCGGCAGGAAGGACAGAGCAGGGACCCCAGGGTCAGGGGACTGGGGGAGGGGGTGTAGTAAGCCCCACCATTGCCCCACTCGCTCCTGGTTGCCTTCTACCAGAGCCTGGAGAGATGCCAGGGGGATGGGGGTGGGGGTGGGGGTTACACTAAGTAAACCTCTTTTGTTCCCTGTTCACTCATTCATTCACTGCAGGGACCTCTCCTGGGTGCTCCCCAGGTGCCCATCTGGGCCAGGCACTCAGTCCCCTTCCAGGTCCAGGGCCCTCTGTGGGGATGTGTGCCTCCTGTCGTGGACGTGTTTGGGGAGGGCATCTCAGAGGGGCCCCCCTGAGAAGGTTACAGTCTGGGGATGGGCCAGTGAGGCCCCAAGAGGACCCTTGCGGGCAGATGACCTGGGAGGTGCGCGGTGACACCAAGGTGAGAGGAAGGGCAGCCAGGGTGGGACATCTGGCACCCCGCTTCCTCAAAGATGCCAGCGTAGGAAACCTTGTGGGGCAGTGACTCAGCAGTACCGAACATGGGTGGGCCTGAAGTTATTAACCCACTGCACAATCAAGGGGACAGGATTTGTTTCCAGTGGCCTGTTTTTGCCACTGCAAAGAAAGCCACGATGAACATCTTGTGTGGGTGGAGACAGGCGCGCGCACGTGCTTTTACTCCCAAGGCCAGCTCCCCCCGAGGGACATCCTTTCTTTGGACTGATGCTGCCAAAGTGCCTGCCCAAAGGTCACGGCAGCCCCCTGGCTCCCTCACCACGTGTGACGGCATCCGTTCTCTCTAAACTCACCAGCACTGGGGAGAAGCCCCTTCTCACATTTTGGAGGTGGGGAGAACATGGCCAGATGGAGTCCCATGAGAGTTTTCCAGTTTGTGTTGCCCGACTCCTGGGGAGGCTTTGCAGGGCTTGTCGGCCACTCTCATTCCCTTTTCTGGATGCCGGCTGCTCCTGTCCTTGCCACGTTGCTTTGAGGGCCAGTTCAGGGGCCTTCTCAGGAGGGAGGGGTGCAGACTGTGTCCTTGGACCTCTTTGTCCCTCGCCTGGTCCACTAGGTGGAGTGCAGCATCTGCGCGGGAGGGCTGGCAGGGGCCTGCGTTGTACCCAGTGAGCCCGGGGTGGTCCTTTTTGTAACAGCCAACGTTCCACACCACACGGGGACCTGCCGGTTGGTGGGCCGTCGCTGTGATGGGGGCCAGGTTTTGCTGGAACTTCCAGACTAAGATGGACGAGGAAGGAAGAAAAGCCTGGTGACCCACTTCTGACCATCAGCCCAGGAAGATCCTGTAGGTCACACAGGTCGAGCCACAGCTGATCCTGGGAGAGCCTCAGGGCTGGGTGCCAGTCAGAAGCATTACACCGGGGATCACGAAATCATGCCTGGACAACAGACGCCCAGCCTGCTTCTGTTCCCCGATTGCCAGCTGCTTGGACACCCTCCTTCTCAGGGACCTCTCATGGGGGTTGCTGGCCTTTCTTTGCGCCTCAGCTGACCCCTTCCTGGGAGCCGCAGTATGGAGTTAGAGGCCAGCTCCAGTGACCCACCTACACGCGCTGATGTCTTAACCCCTGGGGTCCCCAGTGAGACGCCCCCCTTCACCTCTCACCCATCTCGGTGGCCCTGTTCCTGTCCACCAGTGTGGGGGTCCACATGAAAGGATAACCCACAAAGCCACATTGCTTGGCTTGCTGTGGGGCCCGGGGGTGGGGGGAGCTCAGCTCCTCCAGACCGAGTTCGAGCTCCTCTGTATAATGTCACTGCCCTGTCCGCACTCCTCTCCCAGGGCCTTCCTCTTCCCAAATGACCAGCAGATTGACCTGGAGCTGTGGGCAGATCAAGCCGAGTTTAGCGACACAGAGCTGCACCAGATGCGTGCGCTGGACAACTGCCTGTTCTCCATCTGTCCCAAGGCCTGCAGGCTGAGTCCCGGGCAGATGCAGGTGGTGGAGCTCAGATACAAGTGAGCTTCTGGAGATGGCCTGTGCTCAGGCTCCTGCAGGACAGCGGGACCCCAGTACCAGCACCCTGGGGGGACCCCCTCTTCCCCCCCTGCAGGGAAAGCTCTAGGCCTAGTTTTGGCCCTAGAGGCTCACCTCCTCAAAGCCACAGGCATGCCATCACCCTGCCCTTCCCCGCCCCCACCCCTTGTACCTGCTCCAGGTGTTATTTTGTCTCTGTACTAAGTCCTGCACTTGTCTCCCCACTTCCAGCCACCTGTTCATCGGCACGGACCGCCTCCCAGTGCTCTTCAAGGTGTCCCATGGCCGAGAGATCCTGGTGAGGCCCCAGCACCTGCTCCTGACCTTGGTCTCGGGCTGTAGGAGAGTGGGCCCTCTGGGCAGCTGGAGGGGACCAGGGAGCAGTGTCCCCCTGGGAACTAAGGTCTTGCTTCCCCATGTGGGAGCATCACCTCCTCCCAGGCCAGGATTTGACACGGGGGACTTTGTGTTTCCAGCTCAGCTTCATAGGTGTGACAGTGGAGCCGGGACAGAAGTACGTGCACTTCACCTCCACTAGCCACCAGTTTGTCCCTGTCCCCATGGGGGACACGTTTCCCCCACGGCAGGTCAGTAGCCGGCGTCATTCCACTCAACCAAAAAGCTTGCATCTTGATGTCTGTGTATCTGGGTCAGCCTTTGACAAACGTGGCCGAGAGGCGGGGCTGGCGGATCAGACCCCAAAGCAGGAGATCTTAGTTGCTGATGCCTGGTACTAAGCCCTATCTAGCCAGGCCTAGTTCCATGAGGTGGCGGCTATGCACCGGGCTGATCACCACAAGGTCAGCAGTTTGAAGCCACCAGCCACCAGAAGGGGTTTTCTACTTCTATGAAGAGTTACAGTCTCAGAAACCCTGGGGGCAGTTCTGTCCTGCCCTGCAGGGTCGCTGTGAGTCAGAATTGACTCAGAGCAGTGAGTCTTCTGTTGTTTCATTGCCATGGGAATGGAAGGGGCTCCTTCCTCTAGATCAGGGTTCTTCAAACTTCTCTGACCACGAACTACACAAATGCATTTTCCATTCTAAATCCAGCCAAAGCAAAAGCATCACAAGCCCATCCTTAAGCCATGGTCGTCAGTGGCGATGAGTCCACTCCAACCCAGGTGCCTCCCCCGGCTGAGAGGAGGTGGCTCCCCAGCTCAGCTGTCATCTGAGCAGAAGCAGGTCTCCACAGGCTCTGCTGGCGGCCTCCAGCCAGTCCACTTGAGGGGAGCAAGCGAGCTCAATCCACTTGTCTGACCTCGGGGCTTCATTTAGACTTAAGCTACTCTCTGCAAAGTCGTCTGATATTTTCTTTTCCTATTTTACCCGCTTCCCTTTGGATGGAAATGTTGGCCAAGACATGGCTCTGTGAGTGCAAACCACTGCTGCGGGAAGGGCGTCTTTCCCGCGCGAGAGCAAGGCAGTGGGTCCCGCCCGGCCTTTCCTAAAATGGATCAGACTAAAATGTCGAAACAGAAAGATCTGAGTGCTTTGCATTGTAGACTAAGTCTAACGTCCCCCGGTTGATCAATTGGTTGCACCCAAGGTTTGAGCTCAACTGCTCATGCAAACTGGAGGGGATGGGGTAGGAACTTGGCATACGTGCCCCAGGGAGTTCCAGGAGAGGGACCAAGTCATGTTCTGGCCTTTGCACCCCTGTGGAAGTTCTAACCCTTCGGAAGCTGGCAGGGGCCTGCATCGTACCCAGTGAGCCCAGGGTGGTCGCTTTGTAACAGCCATTTCTGGACAGGGCCTCTCGCCATTCAGCCTGGAAGCAGAGAAATGGGTTTTCGTATCCCAAGAGGGACAGAGGACCTAGCTCTCAACTCGACTCACTTCCCTACATCACCTTCCACCCTGCCGGCTCCCCAGCAGCCGGGCCCCTCTGAGGCTGTGAGTCCCTGGGGCTCACAGAGGCTCAGGCCCCGGAAAAGGAAAGTCCAGACTCTGGTGGGGCCTCATCGAGCTTTCCAGCGAGACCAGACTGCTTCCTTTAGGCCATGTGTTGAGGCCGTGGGACGTACCCCCAATGTGGAGTCGACAGACCCAGCTGTGCTTCGGCCCCACCTCCATAATGGTGACCCAGCCTCCACATAATGCTGGCCTGGGCCTGTGAGCGGGCAGGGAAGGCAGAGCAGGGACCAGATTTGAGACAGATGTATTTTTGAGCAGAACCATGGGGACTGTCTGCAGAGTGACTATGGGGGTGGAAAAGGAAGACAGGAGCAGGTACCCTGGTACAGACAAGAGCTCTTGAGACACTGAATCCAGGACAGATAAACCCCTGAGGGACAGACATGGGAGTAATGGTACCAGGAGGGTAGGGGGAAGGTGAGGGGAGAAGGGGAAAAAAAGAGGGAACTGATCACAATAATCGAAGTATAACTCACCCCCACCCCCAAAGGGGAAGAGCAACAGAAACGTGAGTTAAGGGAGATGGCGGGTCGGTGTAAGATATTAAAACAATACTTTATAATTTAACAAGGGGTTACAAGGAGGGGGGAGGGAAGAGGAGCAGATACCAAGGGCTCAAATAGAAAGTAAATGTTTAGAAAATAATGATGGCAACATAGGTACACATGTGCCCGATACAATTGAGGTATGGATTGTTATGGGAGCCGTAAGAGCCCCCAATAAAATGGTTTTTTAAAAGGAAGGCAGCATATTTAGTTTTAGTCTGTGCCCCTGAGGATCCGTGGTCCCATTTGTTGGGAGGAGGGAAATGGTAGGGGGCAGAGACTTAGAGGGGAGACTGTGTTTGGGGCCAAGGTTGAAACACCTGTGGGTTAACCAAGGAGGGTTGGCAAATAAATGCAAAAGCCAAACCACTGCCATCAAGCTGGTTCTGACTTATAGCGACCCAAGAGGCCAGACTAGAACCGCCCTCACGGGTTTCTGACACTGTACCTCTTTATGGGAGGAGAAAGCATCCTCTTTCTCCCACCGAGCAGCTGGATTCCAAACTGCTGGCCCTGCGGTCAGCAGCCCAAAGCATTACCCCCATGCCACCAAGCTTGAGGCAAGCAGATTGGATACAATGTCTTTTGCTCAGCAGGATGGCCCAGGTAGATACATACAATCCGCGTGCCCCAGGGTTGACTGGTGAGAGAGTGGAGGAGTAGGTCGGGGACTCAGTCTTGATCAGTTCTTTGAGCTCTCTGACTTCAGTTGTCTCTTTTCTAAAATGAGGGGCTGTGCCAGAAGACCTCTGGTTCCTTCTAGGACATTCTGTCATTTCCAACCTTTGGGCTTAGTTGTCGGGGACTTCAGATCATCCTCCTGTCCCCTTACCTGCCTTTAAACAGGACTGCCTCTCATGGTAAGAAGTCCTGGTGAAGTAGTGGTTAGGTGTTGGACTGCAATCCACATGGTTGGCAGTTCGAAACCACCAGCAGCTCCGAGGGAAAAAGACGGGGTTGTCTGCCCCTGTAAGCATTCACTGTCTCTGAAATCCACAGGGAGGTCACCATGAGTCAGCACTGACTCCTTGATCGAGAGTGGTTTGGCTCTCTCATGGCAGCCATGCAAATGGCAGCCTGATGGGTGATGATAAGAGTGGAGCCGATCAGATGAGGAAGGGTGTGGGTTATTCATGGGTGTTTCCCTGATCCCAACACGAAGGACACGGCACTAAGGTCCCTGCATGGCTTGGAAAAGGCAAGCTTGTCAGAGTCAACTGACCGCTCCTTTACGAATAGGATCACCCTAAAATGTCACCGGCTGAAGACAGTTTCCCGAAACTTCCACATACTTCTGGAAGGACTGGGTCACACGAGGGCAATATTCGGGGGCAGGTCGGGGGAATCCTGAGATTAAGGCGGCATTGTGGAGGTCATTTTACCCTCCTGGAAGGAGCACAGAACCCCAGGCGCTGCTATCTTGAGCCAGGGTCAACGGTTTCCTGCTCCCTGCCCCCTGCAGATTTACGAACTCTACAACGGGGGCTCGGTGCCCGTGACATATGAGATCCAGACCCCCATCCTGTCGAAGATTCAGGAACAAAACTTCGACCACCCTATCTTCTGCTGCCTCAACCCCCAGGGGGAGATCCAGCCGGGCACGACGACCCCTGTCCTCTGGGTCTTCTCCCCCATCGAAGCCAAGACCTACACGGTGAGTGAGCGGCCGGGGGTGATCAGAGGTGGGACATGGGCCCAGGCCCCCTCAGAGGCCATTTCTGACCAACCCTCACCCCCACCCTGCTGACTTCCTAGGTGGACGTGCCCATCCAGATCCTGGGATGGAACTCGGCCCTCATCCGCTTCCACGGAGTGGGCTACGATTCCCATGTCATGGGGGTCACAGCCCCGTTCCACAACATCTCCTCGTTGGAAAACAGCTCCACCCACTTTAGGCTGATGGTTCCTGGACAGGTGTGGGAAAGGGAGGTGGGAAGGCCTGAGGCCTTGGGGGGAGAGTGGGAGGCTCCAAAGAGGGCTGGAGGACAGGAGGAGGTGGGGGTGACCTGCAACTGGCCTGCAGCTATCATAGGCAGCTCTGGCTCCAGAGGAGGCTTACCCTGCCACCTAGTGCCCACATATATTTCTGCCCATCAATCCATATACCCCTCTACCCATCCATGCACCCCTCCATCCAATTATTGTCTACCCATCTCTGCATCCACTTAGCCATCCATCCACTCGGATGCCAGCTGGACTCCTGCTCTGTGCAGGTCCTGGGGACAGAGCCTCTTCCTTGGATCTCAATCGTCAAGGCAGAGGAAAGGGCCCTTCGGTGTGGTCTCAGTCTTTCCGGACCACACTTCAGAGCAGCTCATCTTCCGTGCCCAGTGAAGAGGCCAAAGCCTTCCAGAGCTTGGCCTATTCTTTGGTAGCCCTCCACTAGAGGCTTAAGAGTATACTGTGGGTTAAGCATTGGGCTGCTAACTGCAAAGTTGGTGGTTCACACTCAGCAGCCACTCAGTGGGAGGAAAACGAGGCTTTCTGCTCCCACGATTTATCCCCTGGGGAACCCTAAGGAGCAGTTCTCCTCTGTCCTTGGGAGTCATTCTGAGTCAGAATTGATCTGATGACAGTGGATCAGTTAAGTACCAGTTAATCCACTGCCATCAGATCAATTCTAAGCTAACTCAGATTCTCTTAGCCCTGCCAAACCTATTTTAATGGTTAGATGCGCAGGTTCTTGAGAGACACGATGTGGGCATGTGAGTGATCTCTGGAAATGACGTGTGCTTCCTCAGCTCCGGGAGCCCATCTGTCCAATGGGGGCAGTAGTCACACCTGCATCCTAAGGCCATTGTGAAGATCAAATGCCCAGAGAGCACTTTAACACCGCACCTGGCCTGTCCAAAGACTCGGTACCCATCGGTGGCTGCTAGGGTCCTTGTTTCCTCCCCTCCCAACGTTGCTACTGTGCTGGCTCCACCAACAGATGATCTTCCTGTCCCAGTCTTACATCTCCCTGGGCAACATCCCTGTGCATAGCAAGTGCAGCCGCTTGCTCTTCCTCAACAACATATCCAAGAAGGATACCATCATCTTTGCCTGGGAGCTGAAGCCTCTAGACTTCGGGGAGGTGAGCATCCCCATGCCCACAGAATCAATACCCTCAGTGGAGACCCCGGACCCATCCTGTCTAGTGACATACCATTCACCCCACCCTATCTAGGCAATTTCACAGAACCTCTCCCCAAATCAGGAGCCCTAGGGGTGTAGTAGCGGTTATGTGTTGGGCTACAAACCACAAGGTCAGTGGTTCGAAACCACCAGTGTCTCCGTGAGAGAAAGATGAGATCTTTCTACTCCTGTAAAGAGTTACAGTCTCAGAAACCCATGGGGAAGTTCTACCCTGTGCTATAGGGTAGCACAGTCGGCATTGACACAGTCGGCATTGGCACAGTGGCAGTGTGTCCCCCGCTCCCCCAATCAATAGGTGTCTGTGAGTCCCAGTGTGGGGGTGATCCCTCCTGAGGAGTCAGTCCCCTTCATGGTCACCCTGAAGACCTCAGTGCATGCCAGCTTCTACAGTGTGGACCTAGTGTGCAAGGTAAGGACCCATTCCTGGGCTTTCTGTACTAGAAGGTTGGGTGGGTTCTGAGATCTTCAAATCCCCACCCAAGAGAGAGGCAGTGGTCAGCCACTGAAAGGGAGTGGGGGGTGGGTGTCCGTAGCACAGACCCAGGGCAAGACCTGGCTTCGTGCCCTCCAGACCTTGGGGCTGTCTCTCCTTGTCCGGAGTCACAGGTGTACCGGCAGCAGCTCTTAAGGCAGCACCACAAGGAACTGCAGGAGTGGAAAGAAGAGAAGGTCCGGCAGGAAGTGGAGTTCACCATCACAGATAGGAAAGTGGAGGTGAGCAGGCCCAGGCCACCACAGATCTTCCTGACTGGCCTTCCCGGACGGGAGAGAGGAATGTGCCAAGGTGCATGCAAAATGCGCTGACCCATCCTAAGGGACCAGACTCAATTCATGAGCCTAAATATAACATGTTCACATCTGTTGCATGTGATGCTCTGGGTACAGAAGGCCACCTGACGTAGCTTGTATGGCCTGAGTGCTTCTGGTGGCATAGTGGGTTATGCATTGGACTGCTAACCACAAGGTCAGCAGTTCGAAACCGCCAGCCACTCCTCGGGAGGAAGACAAGGATTTCTACTCCCATGAACAATTACAGTCTGGGAAATCCATGGGGGCAGCTCCACCCTGCTCTATAGGGTTGATATGAGTCCGCCTTGACTCGATGGCGGTGAGTTTGGTTGGACAATATTCGAGCACCGGGACCCAGAGAGCACGGGGTGGTGGTTTGGGGAACAAGTTCTAGAAGCGGCCTAGTTTGGGTTCCTCGCTTGGACAATTTTGAGCTCTGTGATCTTGGTCAAGCCATTTCATTTCACTTTGTTCCTTGAGCTGTAAAACAGAGGCGCTATGACACCTGAGGTTGGTTGCAAGACAACCCAACGAGGGGATATAGATGGAGACTTGGCCATGGCCATGCCGCTGACTGTCCAAGCCGGTGACGGCTAACAAGGATTCATTGTAGCCTTCTCACCACTCTTTTGTACGTTTAAAGGTTTCCCTATGACAAAGGTTACAAATAAACCTTTGTCTAAAGCATATTTACAATGGGAACTTTGTACAAACTCTATTACAAAGTAGTGTAGTGAAGACAAATTGCGTTAACACACGTGTAAAATGAGTAAAGTGGCTTGATACCCAGGGAGCTTTCCTGAAACATGAGCTCTGAGTATTGTGGTTGGAGGGAGCAATATAACCATAAGACAGTTTCCTCCTCCTTCCCTGAACATCTTCACCCTGATCACCTCTGAGATCACCACATGGAATCCTGCAAGGGGTGGGCACTGCTCCCCTCAGAAGCTCTGGCTTAACCAGGAATGCAAGGTATTCCTTGGGGGCATGGGAGCAAGGATTTCCACATGAAGCTGAATAAGGGAAGATGTTTCTCCCTGCAGAGCATCAGGCACAAGAGCCAGTATCCCTGGGGCTGCCTCCAGGTGTTGGGTAGCGGCTTCTTGTTATTCCTTCTTTGGGGTAGCCAGATCATCCGTGTCTGCAGACAAAATGTCAAGGGCCACCTTCCAGTCCAATATAGCCCTTGGGGCAGGGTCGAGAGGACACAATAGGTTCAGGAATCTGCTTCACGCTTAGGCAGCTACCGCCTGCCCGTACCATCCTCCATGGGTCAGCAAGTTGGGTAGGAAGTTGGGGAGAGGGGCTTTCTCTTTGGGGGTGCTCGCCATCCTAAGCAGGGGGTCTGTCTGCTTCCACAGAGAAGAGTGTACTGCACAGCCTGTGCACCGGTGAGAAAGTACAAGGTGAGGCCAAGAACCCCAGGATCATCTCCTGGGGTCACTTGGAAGGGTCCTTGGTCACTCCCAGAGTGGCCCCCTAAAAGGGAGGGGCAAGCGCAACAGTGGGTGGAGCCAACCCCCTATGTGATTCAAGGGGCCTGATTGAGGGAGGGGCTAGGCCAAGGTGCCCTTGGGTGATGGGAATGCAGCCTCAAACCCTTGTCTTCCATACCTCCCCCTTCCCAAAGACACTGCCCCCCATCAAGAGCCAGCAGCCGTTCACCCGGCCTGCCAGCTGGCACCTGCAGATCCCGAGGGAGGAGTCCTCTTGGCCGTGTCCCGAGCCGCCTGTGCCAGGCATGCTTAGACTGAGCCTCACTGCCCGCACCCATGCCATTGACTCCTTCCTGGCCAACTTCTTCTCTGAGTTCCCCTGCCACTTCCTGCACAGGTGAACACCCAGGTTGGGGGAGGGGGCAGGACTGTCCTGGTTCCACTCCTTGTCACCCCCGCCTGCACCACCCATAACTAGGGCTACCCAGCCCCAGCCCTTGGGGAGGGGTTGAAGCAAGTGCACAGGCAGTGGGACTCAGTGCGCAGTGCTGGCCTCCAGATGTTTCATGACTGCAGCGGTTCTTCCAAGGAGAGGCACAAAGAAGCTGGCAACCCCCTGGGAAACCTCCTTAGCACCCGGGGTGCTCTTCATTCATGTCCTTTCCAACTTGAAGCCTCTCTGGGGCCTGCAAGTCCCTGAGCCTTGGGCCTGGTTCCTCCTGCAGTACCAGCACCTTTGGATTAAGGTGGCCCCAAAGGCATCCAGGTCCTCATGCCAAGGCAGCTACCACCAGTGCTTGTGCCCCTAACTCCAACATGGTGGCTCCCTCAGACCACTCAAAATGCCATGGCCTGCCCCCAGGGAACTGCCGAAGAAGAAGCCCCCTGGGGAAGAAATCACCGACGACAACTGGGACTCTGTGCCCAAACAGGAGAAGGTGCTTCTCATCGATTGTCTTAGCATCATCATCAGGTAACCACACATCTCCCAGACCCTTGTCCGAACCCTCCCATCTCTCCAGCTCTAATCCTGGGTCTACCCGCAGTGCCTGAAGGTCCAGCCTTCTTTTCCTGAGTAGCACTTCCTCAGAAGATCCCTTCACTGGTGACCCCAGGCCCCCTGGGGTGATGCCAAGAGGGATCCTGAAGGTTGAGTCCTAAGTTCTACCCCATTCATAGCTGTCTCCCCAGGGCTTTGGACCTTCATTTGGGTAATCCTGTCCTCCTGACTCCCTCTCCACCATATAATGTTTACCTCCAAGTATCTACGGAGCCAAAGGTGCATTCCTCTGCAGAAGGGTGGGAGGGGCTTCTCCACCTAGCACCTGCTTGTGGACAGACTGTAGAGAAGAGCTGCCCCTTGGAGAACCCTGAAGCCTTCTGTGTGTGTGTGTGTGTATGTGTGTGTGTGTGTTTTGGGGGAGGGGGCTTTGGAACTCTTTGTTGTCTCCCTACCCCCCAGACGTCTGTTAGAGGACAAGAACTTCCATGAGGCTGTGGACCAATGCCTGGTGGAGCAGGTGCCTTACTTCTGCCAGTTCTGGAGTGAGCAGTCAGCCAAGTTCATGGCCAAGAAGAGCAGCCTGCCCTTAGTCCCGTTCCTGTCTCCACCTTCCGAAACCTGGGAGGAACAGAAAGGCAAGGAGCCTGAGGATTTCAAGCTAAGGCTGAGGAGGAAGGGACCCGGGGAGGAGGAGGGGCGGCAAGAGGAAGAGGAGGAGGAGCAAGAGGAGGAGGAAGAGGAGGAGGAGGAAGAGGAGGAAGAAGAGGAGGTGGAAGAGGAGGAGGAGCTGGACAGAGAGGAGCTGGTGGAGGAACAGCTGGAGGTGAAGGAGGAGGAGAAGAAGCCCTGGATAGGGATGGAGCCCAGACTGCATCCTGGGTCCCAAGAGTCCCTGCAGAAGCTGTGGCAGCAGCAGCTGAAGGCTGTGATGCAGGAGGAGCAGGAGCAGGAAGAGAAGGAGGCCATCAGCCGGTGAGCGGCAGGGCCCAGCCCAGGGCTGGGCAAGGCCTGTCTGCACCAGGGTCCAGGACACACTAGGAAGCTGGGTGGGTACCCGGGGGTCGTGAATCGCTTCCCAACTCAGTCCAGCGAACCCAGGTTGGTTGTTTAAGGCCTCGGTGAGGACCACTAAACAGCAAGCCTGAGCTTTTGCCCACTGTTCACTTTTGATCAGCAGTGTGGTTCATCCACTGTCCTGAGACCGTGCAGCCTTACAGTGACCCGATCAGGGGCGAAAGAACTGCCCCTCGGGGTTTCTGAGACTCCCGGCGCAGACAGCTTCATCTTTCTCACTCAGAGGCTGGTGGGTTTGAACCCACAACCTTGTGGTTAGCAGCCCAGTGCTTAACCTACTGCGTCACTAGCACTCTCTAGTCAGGGTGGCCAGCATCTTTTAAATGGACTTTGAAAGTCAGAAGAGAAATATGGGTGGCTTCTTGCTCCACCTCCCCCCAGGCCTGTTCTGTGGATACTTTTTGTTTTGGTTGGGATCCCTGCACACCCCCACCCGCCACCGCTACCGACCCCCCAGCAGTCCCTTTTGCCCCTTCAAGTCAGGCACTATCTTTCCTCAGACCTGGACCTGGGATGCATGGTACGGTGGCCCGAGTTTGAACCTTGCCACTTCGGCCAGCAGCAGGCCGTACTTTGAGTGTGTGAATTTTGAGCAAAGACGCCCATGGTGGTGGGGAGCGGAGGGGAGGGCGAACCGACCAAACGTCCAAGTTAAAAGGCCCTTGGCTGGCTCTGGGCCCGCAGGCTCCCGGCCTTCACCAACACGCAGGAGGCGCTGCTGGAGAACATCATCCAGAACATCCTGGTCGAAGCGAGCCGCGGGGAGGTGGTGCTCACCTCGCGACCGCGCGTCATCGCCCTGCCGCCCTTCGGTGTGACAAGGTGGGGGCGCCCGGGCCAGCGGCTCTTGGGGCGGCAGGGGTGCGGCGGCAGGCTCTGGCGGCAACTGCGTCCTCACCCCTCCACGGGGCTTCCTGTCTCCCAGGGTAACGACCCCAGACCCGCCGCAGACCCCTTTGGCAGCGCAGCGGCAGCAAGCGGAGGAGACCCGCCCGGCCCATCGGCCCACCACCCTAGTCCCGCCGCCGCCCCCTCTTCCCAGCCCCTCCTAATAAAGCATTTAAGCTTTCTGCTACGGCGTCCCTGACTTTATTTCCCCTGCGCTGCTCAGAGAGGGATGCATAGTGGCGGGCGGGCGGGATGGCCCTCACGACCCTGCGGGCCTGGGGGACTGGAGATGCGCCTCCCCGCTCCGCCCCGCAACTGGCAAGGTCCTCAGGGCTGGCGGCCGGGCGCAGACTCCTGCTGGTCAGTG